CTGTGGCCTGGGTTCAATTTTTGGACCTGGCATCACATGTGGGTTGAGTTTTTTGTTCTCCATGTCCTCCGGTTTTCCTTCCTCTGCAAAAACCAACATTCCAAATTCCAGTTTGATCTGGAGTCGAGTGTTTTTAACATGAGCCACAAGCTCAGAAGATTGGGCAACCAGTTCCTACATTATCAACTTTGCATAAATTATTTATTATTAATATCTATAATGGTCTTTTCATTTCCTTGAGAGTAATCCTGAAAAGGGCTGTTGTCATGATAATGACTGATGTTAGTTTTTGAAAAAACCCATTTGTTGCTACTGTGAACTTTGGACAACTTTGACAAACTTTTTTTCTTTCCCTGGATCATCAGTTTAAGTCAGCTAAATAATGGAATAAAAGACACCTTTAATTTAGAAAAACAAAAAGGCAACACATGGCAAACTCCAATACAAGATTATTAATTTAAAAGTAGTACTCTTCCATCTCTGTCCATATTTTCATCTATTCTTTTTATTTTAGGATCCTGGTGGTTTGACTGACTATATTGCAGCAGAATACATTCCAGACTTTCTTGGTGGACCATATGAGGTGAAGAATATCAGAAAGGGAGCTAGAGAACTAGGCCATCATTTTTTATTTGGTATCCATGAATCATCAAAAAGCTAATTTATGTAAAAAAGAAAAAAATTGGCATTATCCAGAGAAATGATTCCTCTGTAGCTTATTTTATGCCTGGTTAGAACAAAAGGTTTATCTGTGGACAGTTCTAATAAAAGGTTGGTCTGAGCATGAATAAAATTTAAGTAAGAAGTAAGAATGCATGCTTAAATGAATAACCTCGTTCAGCTAGAACCTTTGCACAAGAATGCATGCCTCAGTGTGGTGTAACAAGCAAAGACCCTGCATATGTTTTTGCTTGTTGTATTCTGCTTGAGCTTTGATACTGTCTGAAATTAACATATTTTCAGTGAATGAAATAAATGTAATGGTACCACTTTACAAAGGCATATATTAATCCTCCTGCCCAAAGGACAATGGTCAAGAACAGTCTACAAAATACATTGAAAGTTCCCAAAACAATGTTTTCCTTTTGACTTATTTCAATGAGTATACTCACTGGTGTCCTACAATATATTGATGACTTCCTTTTCAATACTGTCAACACTACCTCCTTGGAAATAAACTGACTTTTAATGGGAAGTCATCAAGAAATAATTCCTAAGAAGATGTCCCTTTTCTCCTGTGTAGTGTCAAATTAAGGAGGGGGGACTTGTCCCAAAGACTCTGTACCGATCTCTGGAGTTCAATGAGGGAGAAGAATCTTGGAGCAGTGAAATCTACCAAACAACACATGTTAGTAAGGGCTCAGCCCATGAGGTAAGGGACAAATGTCAGAAAAAATGCTGTTGATTACATAAATGATAATGGACTTTAGCCTTCAATGCATTTCTACATAGGTGTATTCAAGATTATTTGGTGAAAGAATGGGCGATATGATAATGATAATCATCATCATGTATCTATTCGCTCCGACGAAGAGCTAACGCTCGAAACGTCAGCTTTTGTAATCATTACGGTGGCCAATTTACCATTTCAACTTTGTTGATATATCATCATGTATTAGCCTCTTTAGGAAGCTGGTCACTGGCGACTCTTCTTCTTAGGACTTCCCAGGAAATGTTTCTCCATCTGTCTTCAGTCACTTCTGTAGTGTATAGTATGCCAACGAGCATGTAATATGCGCGATGTAATGTGATGCGTGATGGTGTGATGTAATACCCTCGAGACCTGCATATATATACAGCGTGTGTTTAATTATTTAGTTAGTTCTCTTAGGTACGCGAATAAAACTGATTCCATTTTAACTGCTGTGTACTACAACTTCCTCATCCATTCTACTTGGCATATGTTCTTCCTCTTGTTTTCTCTGTTATCTTTCCATTTAGAACATTCTTACAAACACCTAGTCATAATTGAAGATATTTGAAGAAAACTAGCAATCTTGAATGACTATCACAGCATATGTTAAACATTACACTTACAGACAGTGGCTTTTAGGTTTCACAAAATACAATCAACTCTCATTATGGGAGTAACTGTAATTTAAATATTGCTCTGATATCAACTTGAAGGTGGAATTTCAGGGGTTTCATTAAGGGCCGGGCACCAGCCAAATTGACCAGTTGTAAGGACGGTTTTGCTCACCTGGTTTAACAATCTGGAGGAAGGTTTTTCTCATAAAGAAGTTTAGTTTAAAAATTTTTGCCCACCTCTGAAAACCAGTTGCCCTCCTGCTGAAAACATTAATGAAACCCCTGGAATTTCCTCTCTGTGTTCTTCCTGAATGCCATGGTAATAAGTTGTCAGGACATTTTGAGAGAGAGATGGTTAATGATAAGTTATGTTATTATTGGTGAAGTGAGCTACTTCTTCATCTGTGGTCTTCATCTGTGGCACTTTGCCACATGAATAAGACTGTTGTACCTGTAAAATTCCAAAATTATTACCAAATGAATAGACTAATCATCTTGACCCACTGACTGACAGGTCCTGGTAACAATAAAAGAATCTCAGGCAGTAATCACATGGGATTTTGATGTCATGAAAGGAGATGTCCAGTTCACAGTGTTCCGTCACAAGCGGCCTCGTGAGGCAGTCAGTACCACAAGCTTGTCAAGTTTTGGAAGTGATGCATCCCTCAACCAGTCTGGAGTTATTGCTGGGGTTGATGCAGTGGTGGTTGAAAAGCCAAGGCATTGCTATGATGGTGAATCTATACAGGTATGTATCTACAATTGGTGCCAAATTTAATTAAAGGACAACAATTGTTGAGAAGTGGATTTTAGACCCAAGTGGAGTTTGCCACAATACCCTCCTTCCCTCACAGGATAGGCCCTCTGGCTTGTAAAGTGGCAATGTGACCTAACTGGTATCTTTATTTTTCTTCCTAAAAGGGGACACATGTTTGTTCCATTCCTGGAGTTTATGTTCTTCAGTGGAAGTACAAATCTGGAGCACCAACAGGCCAAGCCCATGGGCGTCACACCAGAGCTAAAGTCATGTACTATCATGAAGTACTTCCTTCTCGAGATTTTAGGTAATGTGTTTTGAGAACTGAATTTTCATTGTGATTAGAAGAAAACAGGAGCTGTTTGAGTACTGTGCCTATTGGGATGTTTATAGATATGGGGTTCCTATAGGCATGTATTCTTGTAAAACTCTGGAAAAAAGATTAAGTCTTGTGCAAGCAGAAGGGAAGCTGAAGTGTATGGCCATAATTGGCTAATGAAGTAAAATTTCTTTCATAATTATTCACAACTGAGAATATGTTAAAATTATTTTCTAGGAAAGAAGATAGAAAAATGCATTTGTTTGCTGGTTGAAAACAACCACACTTTCATTTGAAAAAGGCTACCTTATTGGACTCTATTACCCTTAAACTTTGAGTTAGTCTTCATATATTTAACATTATTTGTGTGACTATGGTGAGAGCATTTTACTGTAACATTCTGTGGCTACTTTTAACTTATCTGCTGGTTCATCATTTTTTTTCTCAGGGGATCGTTATCAAGTCTGGAGTCTTGCCACAGCGGCTTCTCTCAACTTAGCATTTCAACTTCAACAAGTCACTCTTCAGGTGCAAGCACTGCTTCACATCCGTCCAGATAGCAACTACAGTCAAGAGGGGCTCTGACACCAAGCACAACCAAATTGCATGTAACAAAACAAAGTGGCAAAGAATGAGCTAATTACAGTGCTTTGCATTACTTCTTTACAACATGCACAGAGGACAGAATGTTAAGTGATTTGTAACGTCTGTTTGTATAGCTAAACAGAGTGCTTTATGCCCGTCAATTTTCTATCCTAATTATAGTGAAAGCAAATTGCCATTTTTGTCTGCTGGCAGACGAAATTATTGGTAATTAGCGACAGAAATTTATTTGAGAAGTTGTGGAATACCAGAGAATCTGAATTGCTACAGGCTTGTAGCTCAGAAATTTCTGGTGACACACTTTTGCTCAAGTTAAGGCTAAACAGTGGTAAAATGCATCTCAATTTACATAATATGTATATAAAATTAAGAAACAGTCAATTTTTTTTTCAATTGTCAATGCATTATGTGTTGCAACACTTAAAGAACTGAACATTTCAGTGTCCTCTGCTGCCTGTTTTTTTTCTAGCTAGCTTTAATTGCAAAGGTTTTGTTCCTACTATTCCCATGCAATAGGTTAAATTTTCAATTGCACTATTTATTAAAATTAAATGATTATTATTATTATAACAATAATTAAAATTTTGGAAAATAGAACTTAAGAGTTGTAAATTAAATTATTGGCACAAATAAGAGGTGAGCCCCTCAAGTAATTATCTGTAGATAAGAAATAACAATTACATGGCTTATAATGAAATCCATGAAGAAAAGAAAACAGTTTCCAGTAACATGTTTCATGCACTAATTAATTGTTTTACAGAGTAGGATGAAGTAAATGAGGAGTAAGTGAATTTTAGGTCCATACCTAAACCTCGCACTATGACTGATGTCGTACCTTGAGGTAAAAATGATCAACTATTCCAGGTTTCTTAACCTGGTCATTCTTATATTCCCAGTGTGCTGGGCTGGCTGGCTTTTGTAGATAATTATTAAGACATTTATGTCCATTTTCACTGACTACTTTTAATGAGCATACACTCTTTCAACGTAGTGAAATCAGCATTTCTTAGCATGGAATAGTGTTAATGAATGATATAGTTATGGTGGGGGAGGGGTGGGTGGGTGCAGAAATATACTCTAACAACTAGAATGTTTTTTATCAAATTCTCAGGACTGTAACTCCCAAGACCTGATGAATTTCTCTTCTCTCCTCCAGTTACCATGAATTTCACTTATTATTACATCCATTTTGAAATCACTTGTGGTCCCTGTAATATGATTGGCTCCAATATGGTGCAATTTATTCACGAATTGCACCATTTTTTTGCTCTAAATTGCATTATTTTATGCTTGACTGAGTTTTTGATACATGACATCAAAGTCTTTCTGTTTTTCATACAAAATAAGATGTAAAAGCGTTTCCGGTTCCACTATTTATTTAAAAACCTACTCAGTACTGCATCAATAAAATATTTGATTTGACCAAGTCCTGTATTTGGGCAATTTCAAAATGGATGTAATAAAGTGATAATTGAACCTCGTGTCATCCAATTTTGGTCTTAAATCATACTTGTGATTTCAAATCAAACTTGCGCTGTGCGCTTGTTCAATTTTGAAATCACGCATATGATTTCAGCCCAAATTGTACTCCACTTAGGCTGGGGAACATTGTGTCACCTCAAGTTGGAATCCTTAACCAAGAAAGATTACAAAAGATACATCACAATTCTTAGGGAAAATTCATCACTTTTGGGTCCCAAAGGGCTAGAAAGAAATTGTTCATGACTGCAATATTTTCCAGACACTCTAAATTTAATGCCCAGTGAGGTCATTAAGCTGGGACATACTCCATGTACTAATTAAGGCATAGTTAAAACCTTGCACTTTCTGCACTTTCAATATAATCATACTGAGATCATATAACCCCAAGATCAGTAGTTCTAATCAGAGAGTTTAATGTATAGAGCAGTTTTGAATACCTTTGGAAGGTTAAGTATGTTATTAAAATTTTGAAAGTTGCTGACATGAAAAAAATTGTTATCTTCACGATGCAATTTGTTCATTGTGTATCAACTCAAGTAGTATCAATGTAGCAAATTTTGAACAATGTATCATATGAAAAATTTTGTACAATGTCATCATTGTTCTGATGCAAGTTACAAATTACCAGATAATTGCTGGGTTTCAATTTATCGTTAGGCTAGGTTTTTATAATTCTACAAAATAATAAATGCATCGAGTTGTAACTCAACTCAGGTCTCTTTGTAGCATGCAATATTTTACTTCTATAAATATGATTACTTAGTTAATGGTAACCTTTTACATATAATCTCAATAATTAAAAATTAATAATAAAAATGTTAACAGGGAATTTTCTGAATAATGAATGTTTTAAATATATGTTCTTTTATCGGTATCTTTTAGCTAGAATTGCATAATTGAATAAATTCTTGCTTTCTGATTGGTTAATGAGTTAATGAGGCTTTGTGATAATGTTTCACATATCTTGTTTCACCCTCGGGATAAAAACAAACATTAATGCTGTTTTCTTTTTTTCTTATTTTTATTCAATCATGGGATTCAAGGAAAATTCATTGCCTGACTTGTAAATTACATAGACAAGTAAAAATGAACGATATAAAATCCCGACGTTTCGGGGACTTCATGACGCCATTATCAAGGGTACGAATGAAAATAAAATTAACAAATGCGAGTTCAAGAGTTACAACTAATTTGGATAGGGGAGGTAGCTACACAAATACTTTAGCACGGATAGAATCCGTTTGCACGTTCAAACTCAGTGTTAATTGTTTGATGTAAAGCATCTCGTTGACAAGACAATTGAATTTGTTCATGCATTTCTTGAGAACTTTGAAACAGCTAAGGTCCTCAGGGACAGCACCTGCGTGGTCGTTGTCGTAGTGCTTGCGTAGACTTGTGAATTCTGGGTTAAATTGCGCTTTAAAACTAATATTACACTCATCACTTTGTGGGATATCAGTTTGTGCTTGCAATTTATTGCCAAATATCCTTGTCAGTTTAAGGAAATTTCCTATAGTAGTGCTATGATGGTGCAGCAGAGTTTTAATAAAACCTTTTAATGGAATATTTCTATGTTGTTTCCTTTTCTGGTTGGACATTAGGGCTGGAGAATAGAGGAATCCACACAGCTAAAGTAAATCCTCTAAACCCCATGAGTGACCAACATTAAATTTTTCCTTGTAGTAATTTACTGCGGAGTCATTTTTTGAGATCATGAGAATAAAGGCAATGATCACCAACCTAACAAGCTTCTGATTATTGTACCTATTCTCTGTATCAGTACCAAAGAAAATGGAAAGAGAAGAGTACAATATGGATACTGATGTCAGGGTGTAAAGGGTTCAATTTATTTTGAGAATTTATTTTGAGAGCTTATAGCCACTCAACAGTCAAAGCACCTTATGATCTCAGGCCCATTTCTTGTAAGTTCCCTTATTCCCTTATCTTACCAGACTTGAGGTAGTAATTTTTTGATAGTGAGGGTCTTGGATTCAAAACCAGTTTATTCTTATATTTTGTTTCCATTTGTTTTTATTGTTTGAACATCACATTGTCAATTGATATCAAAATCTTAAATGAAACACGGCAAACAAAAACCTGCACCTGAACTTGTCAGAAGTTTCATTAGGCTCCATTACTATTTCCAGCTGCTCATTCCCCAAAATCATGCTGTTCCTTCTCAGTTGGATCAAAAATAGAAATAGACACATTGCTGTGTTTCATTTCCAAGGCTATCTTGAGATTGCACTGCTCACTGTCCACAAATTTAAGGCATGATCGTAAAAAGAACAAGTTGCAACTATATCAGTTTGAGTATCGGAAATGCTTTCATCAAATAAGTCAGTCCTTTTGAGTTCATCATTTCTGTCCACTTCTACAAATTCTTGTGCACTGAATCTGGCAAGCTGGATGTGTTTCCTACACCAGTCAGCACCATAAGCCAAAGTTGCTTGTTCTTTATATGACACTACTTTTTCTAAGCTTTGATGGCCTGGAAGTACAGCAGAGAAGAAAAAAAAACTGTTTTCTCAAGTTAATATCGATATTAATTTTTTTTTTAAAAAAAACTTTACTCTTCAAGGTCCCCCATTATGTTTCCAATTAAGTTGGGCATCCAACAAATCCTATTGTGGCATTATCTTCAAGCTAGATTGCCATTGAAGGGCTCTGCTTAAATACCTATTTAACTTAAGATAAATCTCTACATTCCTTGAATGGACTGCTCTTTGTCGTGGGTGGATGAAAAATCCTGCCATTCTCACTAAGATTCCTTTGGTCATAAACCAACAGCCTCACAAGTTCACAAGTACTGGGGGGGGGGGGAAGGGAACAACACTCATTTACAGGGGTTCCAATAAAAACCAGTTTCCACCTATAAGACCTACTTCCACTGCATGTTTAGCCTGCCAGCAGGCTCTTATTTTTTAGGGGAAGGGGCCTTGTACTGGCCCCTTTTCCAGGCACACCACCAATTACACTCTTGTCAGTGGCTTATGGAACACTTTCCATTATCATACCTGTGTTATTGTTGAACTGAAGGATATGGAAGCCATCATACATGCATGCTGTTAGCATTGTGTTTCCATGGTTTGGATGCCACTTTATCCTCCACACTCCTCCCCCAGGATGCGATGTGCATAATGGGCGTGTCATGTTTCTATCGTCCCAAACATGAATCTTCTCATCATAGCTGTTAGTTCAATAACAAACCAGGAGAGAAGTTTACATCACTTGATTGTACAAGTTAAAAGTTTGTTAGTTATTATCATAATGATAATAATGTAAAGATATCATGATTATATTTTTATATTCTGATGTAAAAATATGATTCAATTTTTTCTAACAGTGAAAGAAAAGTTACACACCACAATCAGAGTTTATCACATTTGGGTGTGACTAATAACCGTATCACCAGAGCATTGATATTTTGATTTTGGGAGTGAAAGAGCAAAGAAAGGCCAAGCTTAGACTCTTACCTGCCAGTTGCAATGATGTGTTCATATGCAAGATTGCACTGAATGCTGCTGACACCCATCTCATGTCTAGAAAGGAAAAATTAAGAAGCTCACTGAATTACTAGCCAAGAGGGCTGTACACTCAGGTAATTTCAAAAGCCAAGCAAGTTCAAAGTGACAATTTATATCCTATTAGTGAAGAGAGGCACTTTAAGTCAGAACATAAATTTTATTTCTCTGAAGCAAAATGTCCTCTACACATGTACTCATTCTTGCATGCTACTTCTGAGCTTCTTCACTCTACTTTACAACTAATAACATCACAACTGAATTGAAAAATAATTGTATAATAATACAAAACAGAAAAACTATGGACAGGCCATCATGCAGACAGTTATCCTTATCTGATATCACAGCTGGACCACTCCATCGAGAGATCAAAACACTGGGCCACAAAACTTTTAACTGCTACTTTAATTGAATTACAGAACTGTGATCATAAAATTAAGAGGAATAACCTTTTACTTGTAAATGTAGGTTTATGGCAGCCTGTTCTTGTGTCCCATCCTCTGAGTAGGCAATCATCCCCACCTTAATTTAGTAGGGCCAGTACACAATTCAAAATTAACCACTTTCCCTCTATTGTCTCATCATTTACTAGAAATGTTTATGCTTTTTCCTCTCCCATTGGAGGCGCAGTGGCCTCATGGTTGGTGCGCTCGACTCCCAATCGAGTGGTCCGGGTTCGAGCCCCGGCCGGGACATTGTGTTGTGTTCTTAGGCAAGCCACTTTACTCTCACAGTGCCCGACTCTCTTCACCCAGGTGTTTAAATGGGTACTGGCAATTTAATGCTGAGGGTAACCCTACGATGGACTAGCATCCCATCCAGGGGGGAGTAGAAATACTCCTAGTTGCTTCATGCCACAGAAACCAGAGTTAAGCACCGGCCTAATGGGCCACTAGGCTCGTAAACAGACTTTACTTTTACCTCTTATTCCAGAGTATAAAATCTCCATATTCATTATTCATTTTATAGAGGACCACAGGGCCATCAGTTTTATTACTGTTTACTACTACTACACTTTATTTGCAGTAAATGGTTTGAACCTGGGGGTAACATGTGAAGGTGTAGTCTGATCGTCCGGGTGAGTGTAGTCCTGAGAAGGACTGTTGTCGGTGGCAGTGACTGACGTTTCGACAACCTGTGCGGAAGTCATCATCAGAGTCAAGTGAATGATTGTTGTCAGTAGAATGTTCTTATTCCAGTTCGTGTGAAATGATCGGTTGGTTTTGCCGTGATGTTATTGGCTGTAAGACTCAAGTGACGTAAGTCGGTCGTGATTGGTCTGTTTCG